TGAGTCACAGCCCCACGTATGGCACTGGGGGGGAGGAGGGGGGGGGGGGAAGGAGGGAATTTCCCCTACCTAGTCAGATTTTTTCCTTGTTTTAGGTGTTTTAACTCAAATCTGGGGTGGTATTTTCCCCTTTGAATGACATTTTTCCTCTTCTTAGGACTTCTTACCCCCGAACTAGAGCAGGATATCCCCGTCTGTATTCTGTTTGCTTATAATTTATGCTTTTTTAACCCAAAATTAGGGCAGTATTCACCCCACCCCACCTTCAAGTAATATTTTCTCCCGTTTTAGGGTTTTCGTAACTAAAACTGGAGCTGCGTTTCCCCCTAGAATTACATTTTCCCTCATTTTAGGGCTTTTAACCCCAAATTGAAGCAGCGTTTAGGGGGAAAATAACGGGCATTTCGTGAGCCCTCCTAAGGACCCTATAAGGACCCCATAAGATCCCATAGAACCCCTGAAGCTAGAACCTGAAATGAGGGAATTTCCCCTTAAAATTACGTTTTGTCACTCAGGGATTGATAGTTACCCACAATTTGGGTTTTTTTAACCCAAAATTAAAGCAATAATTCCCCTCAGTGTTTTATTAACCCATTAAACCTCACGGAAGCAACCCAAAATCGGGGGGATTTCCCACCAGACGATTGCATTCATCCCCTCAAGGATTACGTTTTCCTTCGTTTCAGGAGTTTTTAACCCAAAATTCAGACAGCGTTGCCCCTGCAGGAGCGGGGTTATTAACCCATTAACCCCAGCAGCTAATTAGGATCGGGTTGGCTTTGCTCTCAGCTGGGTCCCCTCTACACAAACACCAAGAACGTCGCCTAAAATGGGGGGAATCCTCCTTGATAACGCTGTTTATCTTCATTTTAAGGCTTTTCACCCCCCGAAAAATTGTATATTAACCCTTTTTTGTCCCCCCTTCAGGTACGACGGCCGCCCCCAACGGAAGAAGTCAGCCTGGCCACGCGGCTCCTCCTGGTGTTGTTGGTGGTGGTCGGCGTTCAGGTTTACAGCGCGCCGGTGGAGACGGTGACAACACAACCTGGGGAATTGGTGGTGGTGGTGACATCTGAGGTGGTTGAGGTGACGACACAACCAGGAGAGGTGGCCGTGACACCCAAGATGGTGGTCATGACACCCAAGATGGTGGCCGTGACACCCAAAGTGGTTGGGAAGATGACACAACTGGGAGAGGTGGTGGTGACACCCAACGAGGTTGGGAAGACAACACAACCAGGAGAGGTGGTGGTGACACCCAACGAGGTTGGGAAGACAACACAACCAGGAGAGGTGGTGGTGACACCTGAAGCGGTCACGGTGACAACACAACCAGGAGAGGTGGTGGTGACACCCGGGGTGGTCGCGGTGACGCTCAACGTGTCATCGTTACCACCTCACTTGTCACCACAACCAACACAACCCAAGGAGACGGTCGTGGGGACGTCACAACCTGAAGAAGTGGTGACACCGGAGATGGTCGTGGTGACAGCGCGACTTGGGACGACTGTGACACCACCGGTGACAACGTGCCCACCCCATGGGGGACAGGTGACACCCGTGGGCACCTCCTGCCCACGGTTGTTGCCGTCACCGACCCTGCGGGCCTACAACATCACTGCACACTGACAACTCAGACGGTCACCCTGTTGTCCGGGTGACACCGTACGATTGTCACCTCCACCTGGAGGTGACACCTGGTGCCATGCTGTGCCTGTTGCTGTGTCATTGGTGGTGACACCCGATGGATTTGGAGATGCTTTGGGGGACCGACACTGCGGTAACGACGCTGCGGTGGCACCGAGCACCCGTGGGTGCCTCTACCTCACCCTCAGAGCCCCAGTTCTTTGTGGGTCACACCGTTATTTATTGGGTCGTCGTTTGTATTTATTTAAGGGGTTATTTAATTGTAGGGTATTTAATATTTAACACTATTTATTTCAGAGCTGTTTAACCCCCATTTGGGGTTATTTATTACAGAAACTGTTGTTTACAACGTGTGTTGTCGCTGTGTCGTCATTGGAGCACTGCATCTGGGGGGGGGGGGGGG